TATACAACATCCGTACTGTACTCAGTACCACAGAAATCATCATCTCTTTTTTTATTACAAATTTCAATATAATTTCGAAATTCGTCCACTTGATCGAAAATAATACGAATTTATTAGAAGACCTAAAACGAGTTGCAAATGTTTAAAAGCTTTTCTAAGAATTATAGGTTTTTTCATATGTGATTTCCTTAAAAGCTTAAGTGCATTACGCTTAGGCTTTTAAGTATATAGCGAAATAATTTTGAAACCTCTTTTGCTAGAACAATAATATTTCACTGACAAAATTCGAGTTACAAAAAAGAAATACAAGCTGTTAACAATAAAAACTCTTCCACATCTGGCGAAACACATATTGCTGCCGCTACTCACTAAGTTTCCAAAAGCTCCGTTACCTGATCGAGGAGAATGCAAATTTATTGTTATTCCTATTTACATATTTATTTTACACCAAAGAAATGAATTCTAGGACTAAAAGTAAGACCGCCATTAGCGAGCAAAGCTAGGGCTTCTTTTTTCATGCACTGTTCTACTTGCTGTACAAGCGTATGTTAAGCTGTAGCGGTGTGTAGACTCACAAATACATGGTATAGACTCCTCTTTTATTGTCTCGATCGATACCTAATTACCTTCTGCATTGTTTTAAGCTTGTCTGTCCGTCCGTCCTGCTTCTACAGTCTTATAATTGTTGTATGTTCTAATGAAACTTGGCACACCGAGGTATTCTGGCCTTTGGCGAACGGTATAAAAATGATAGATAAGTGGTTTAGGCACTTAAAAAAGTTGAATATTATATAGATAGTACGTTCTCTACCCACTTTTAAGATGGCTATCAGGTTAAATGCTCCGAAAATGAGCCTTGAAATATTGGAAAGGATTTGGCACTCACAAAGCATATGTTGAATAGTAAAATTTTGCCCGCAACAGCAGACTGGAGGAATAAATTTTTTAACATGTTACTCTAACTGAAAATACTCCAAATTATTTGTAAGGCTTAAAATATAAGTATCGCATTCCGCATAAGTGCCACTGATAAACATCACAATTGCGCTGATACGCACTGAAGTATAATTTGGAAAGAATTTCCAAGCCTTCTTCTATAAAAAAGATGTTCGTTAACGAGCGATCACGCTAGGGAAAAACGAAGAGAAAAAATAACAATATATGGACCTTTACCAATATTGACAGTGAAAAATGTTAAAACATCAAAACAACTTCAATCAAAGCTAAAGTGTTCGAAAACCAAAAAAAAAAAAAAGACGAAAAAGAGTTAGAAAAAAAGAACTGCACTTTATAGCCAATGAAATCCTGTTGTTAAAAAAAAGAACAAAAACAACAACTGAAACTAAAGCTTTAAAGAATCAACGAGAACACGGATCTATAGAAAGGCAAGGAAAAGCTACAACACCCACTCAACAGAACAACAAATTCTGGTGTTTGTACAAATACACAAAAAATGTTGCTGCAAAAGAAAAAAGTGGAGAAAAAAACGTTTAAATCATTAAAACGCATACAAAAAAGAGAAAATGTACGAAAACGTAGTAATGAACGTACACGACTACGAATTTATCTCTATAGCAATTCAGAAGCCGTAAAATTCTGAGTACAATACAAGAATTGATGCTAAGCCAACCCATGCTCGCTTTACTTTAATGTTTTTCTAACGACTCCAACCGCACCCACTTTCAACACTAATGAATAATCAAAGCTTAGAGACAATAAAACAAAACAAAAAAAAAAAAAAAAAAAAAAGAGTTGTTCATGAACAAAGACACACACACACACGGACATGCACCTCCACTCCATTCACTTTTCGACATTTACAAAATTGCTTGATAAACAAACTGCATATTAAGAGCGAAACATGCAAAAACAAATACAATTGTGTTGCGCAATAACAATGTAGAAAAAACGCGCAAAACAAAACGTAACATTGTCAAGATATGCACATGAAAACGTCTGCAGCTTTAGCGCAATTAAAGATGAATTTCTTTTAAAAGATATCTAAGAAAAAAAACACCCATGACAGCCACCCGTGATAGTAAAGAGAATAGCAGCGAGTGCATATTTAACAAAAAACCCAAACAAGCTGAGTAGTTGAGGAATAACCACATAAGCGTCCCTCCTGCTCTCTCTCTCTATCGTGTCTTTTTCCGTTTTCATCTCTATAAAGAATATGCACGTGTGTATGAGTCAGGGTTAGTGAATACATGACTAAGATTTTAGTAGTTTGTTAGACACATTCACAAACTTACACATACACATACACATGCACATACACAAAAACGCAAACACATACGCACGTCTATACAAATAGTAAGTGAAAAAAGCAGAAAGCAAATGCAACAATAAATTGCTGCTGATGCTGCACAAAAAGCTGCCCAGAGAAACCCAGCAAAGCAGCAACAACAAAAAAAAGAAGAAGAAAAAATATTAAAAAATGAGAGAAAAAAGTAAGTGTATGAGGTACAAAAACTCCAACTTCCGTTAAAAATTGACTTGTGTTGAATTTAAACGTTCCTTGTTTTGTTGTGCTCCTCCACTTCTGATATGTGCCATCGACAGTGAACGGATATGCGAATATAAAATGAAAGTAAAGCAAAAAGAAAACAGAAAAGAGAAAAGAGAAAAACTAAAATGGTATAGAAACACGTCAAATTTCTTTAAATTTATTTTGCTTTATAGCTAAAATTTGTTGTTTGTTTTCAGTGTTTGCTTTCAGTATAGCTGCGATCTTTAATACTTGCTCAGACAGTGGCGCGCAAAAATATGCACGTACCCTTCTTCCAAGCACAAAAAAGCAAAGAAAAATGGAAATTAAACAAATGCGTCAAAACATTTATTCTAACAGGTAACGCCAAAAGCTATGCTACAATTTTCATACAGCAGTAAAGTTTACAATTTGTACAGAGGTTTTTCTGAATTTGAGAGATGGTGTTGTTGTTGTTGAGAAATTGTTTTTTATTTTCGGTACTTACTAATGCATTCATATACACGCACATAGGCTTGCATGACTCGATTCTTACTTTTATATTTAATTTTTACTTTCACTATCCTGAAGGTTGGGGAAATACTGAGACGTTGTAAAACTCTCAGAAACTCCCCTACGAAGTGAATACTTTCTTAATCGGTATCAATTTGTGAACCTAATTGAGCATGTTTGTCCGTAACTTTGTCTGTCCATATGTCGATCAGTAAAAAGCATTCTGTTGATTACAAAAATTATGCGAAAATATTGCAAGTAGTTGCAGACACTTGGACATTGAAAGCGTACTAATTTAGTCAAAGAGCGCGTCTAAAGTACACCGTAAAATGACAATTCCTTTGCATTCAAAAGTAAAAAAATATAGGATTTTTGCTTATAAACTGTAATAGATATAACGATAAAAATTACCGACTTTGGATGATCTGACAGTACCTGAGAGATCGGCCATATGTACTTAATATCACGGATAAATAAAATTTCATTTTGTTCTGTTTCCTTTTTTTGTTTTCTTTTTTCTTTCATTTTAAGATAAAGCGGGGAACGAACAAGATTCGACGATAGCCAAATGTACTTTTCTTTGATATTTTTTGGTTTCCTTTAAAAAAGCGAAGCATACTTTAATGAGAATTTGAAAGCGAAGGCATCAAAGCCAAATAGACAAAAGCGATTAGCACGTGGTTGGTCGAAATCAATGCGGATAAATTTTCTCATATCACTTTCGCTTACAGCTTTTACGTGTCTTGTGACAGATTTGCGATTAAGTTCTACCCTTTTGAAAATAAAAAAAGGAAATAGCCGCAAAGCTCACATACATAGGAATGTTTTCCTTGCATATGTAAAATATAAGCAGGTGATGGTGTCGGAATAACAATTTCTTATAATAGCGATAAAAATTTTGCGTCTTAAATTAATTCAGAAGTCAGGATAAGCTGCTTATATAACTTTTAAGGGGAGCTAGGTACTTGAGTTCATTGGGCTCATTAGTGCTCTCTTACTTCTTATCCAGACTTTCTTATCTGGCAGACGGCCAATCTGGCTTTTCATGGAAGCTCATGAAAATTCCCCTTTCTAAATATGCTTATCGGTCAAGTTTTCCACTCTTGAAAGTGGAAAAATTTTGGAAAAGAAATTATATATACTTATATTTATACATGTTTCTTAACTTATTCCGAGAATAGTCTGAAACCGACCGGCTCCATCATCGTAAAATCTACAAGTTTGATATACTTGTGTAACTTAAGAATTTCTTGGACCGGTGATCCCTAGCGGCCCTCCAAGATGACCATAATTTTTTCGCAGGTTCTCTTCAATTCGCCTCGAAAGTGAATATTTGTTCCATCTATTTACTGTGTAAATTTTTTCTTATCAGGCGATTGCTATTCAATCTAAGAGGGATTACTTCCTGACATGTCAACGTTAAAAAATTTTCCAAAGACTGTAAGCCATTAAACAAGGATTAGGAACTTATCATCCGCCCTTGAAATGTTCCAAGAAGAAATTCTGACATTGCAAGTCTAACGATTTCGAAAGGCTCGACTTCTTTCAGATATACGTGCAGTATATCTTTTTACGTTATGTAATAGATTTGATCATTTAGTGCAATGAAAAAAGAAAAGAAGAGAAGGAAAAATATATGGTATCCAGACACATGAATGGACAGACAGACAGATAAATTCATTGGTTAACAAACAAATCTGCAGACACACAGCGAATGCAAAAGTGCATGTGTATACTAACAAGCGGATGACCCATCGACGGAATTAACGGATGAACACGCAGTAAACGAATTAACACGCACAACAACAATAGGATCAGCGATTGTAATTAAATCAATTCAAAATTCGATAGCATAAAAAAGTTGATGTCATTTCATATTTGCTAACCCAATGGTAGTACGAGGTGTTCCCCCAAAGCGAGTAAAGCATTTACTTGTTCATGCTATACAGCATAAGTTTATTACGTATATTTGTAAATCATTGTTGTTCGCATATTTTATGCAGTTTAATTGTTCACTTACCGCAGCATGAACATAGCATCAAAACAATAATAAATTTTATGAGACGATTAAAGTTGTTACTAACACTTATGAAACGGTTTCTCTTACTAATTAGCTGATTATAGCATTCGTGGTTATCGGTATTAGTATTATTGTTATCATTATTACTATTATTATTATTATTATTATTATTATTATTATTATTATTATTGTTGCTGTTGTTACTGCATATGTTGTAAACGCGATTTATTATTGCATTGCTACTGCTGTCTGTACGACGCAGACCGGGTGTTTGTATGTCTTCGCAAAGCACATATTTAGAAGCCCCAGTGCACGATGTTAAAGATGAGCATAAGCACCCACATTTCTTGTTGTTATTATTGTCGCCCGACAACATGTTGTTGCTGTTTTTTTCTGACATTTACCTTTTGTTTCTCCTATTTTTTATTGCTGTATAAATTTTGAAATTTTGTTTTCATTTTTGTTATATCTAAACATTATCATCACACAACGCTTTATTGTTCAGTTTGTAGACAAATTTTTATGTTAAGACCCAAGCGTAGAGGTTGCTAATGGTGTATTATCATATTCGGTTGTTGTTGTTGTTGTTGTTATTATTGTTACTCTTCTGCTGTTATAAGTATTTAAATATAAATGCATACGCATGTCCGCTTTCAGTTCAAGTTGCATAATAATAATTTAAATGAGTGATGTCTGCTTGACACTAATTAAGTGAAAAACAAAAAATCATATAAACACATGGATTATTTGCAACCATTCATTATCATGGCGTTGAAGACAATTATGATAGAGATCATGATGATGGTGATGATAAAGATGATGATGATGACACTGTTTGTCGACGAGAAGCCGGTAAGCGCATATATCTCTCTAGTTAAGGAGCATTAATGAACATATGCCTGCAAAGCGGCATATGATAAATGTTGTAGACATTCTGCTTTTGACATAAACACGAACGTATGAACTTTATGATTTTTCAACAACAAAAAAAAACACAAATAAATAAATAAAAAAAGGAAAAAAAAATGTTTTTTTTTTATATTTTTATTTTAGTTTAAGATTTAGTTTTAGTTAATGATTCCGTTTTTTTCTTTATTTTTTTTTGTTATTAGATTTATTTAAAGTATTTTAGTTTATTTTCGTACGCGTATATTTCTTGCGACTACCGAACGTCTGACTGCGCCGATCTCATCTCGTAATCGTGAATTTTATAACTAAACGCAATAGACTTTCACTTAGACCTTAAAACTCTTCGTTTAATGCACGCACACACACGCTTTCTTTTTACTTTTCCGGTGAGTTTTCTTGCGGTTGGCGCTCGTTTGCTTACTTTGCTCGCTTGCTGTTGTCTTTTTAAGATTTCATATTCGATGGAAATATGCCTAAGCAACATGTTGCTTTAATGTGAATTATTGGAAATGTTGCTAGTTTTTGAAAAACAAATCAAAAAAGTTTTTTATTATATTTTATTATTAGTTTTACTTTCTCTTTAAACTAATTTTGGCTTTGGCTTGTTTTCGCATTTCAAAGCTTTTTTCTTCTTTTTCCCCTTTTTACTATTAATGTTATTATAATTGCGATTTTCTTAGGAAGTTATTTCGTTTTTCCTTTGATATATTTGTGTTATGTTTTCAGTTAAAATTTTTTTTATTTTTTTACTTGCTCTGAAATCGTTTATTTGCTTAGTTTACTCTTGTTCGGGTTTATTTTATTTTTTATTTCTTTCCTTAAAAATGTCTTAATTACTTCATATATGCATACACACATACCTACATGAATGCATATATGTATATTCCTTACTATGGGCTGTTTGTTCTACTTTCGTATATAGTTTGCTTTTCCCAAAAGTTTGTCTTAACTTGCAGCAGCACATGTTGTTTTGTAGGTCATTCCAATTGCTGTTATTTGCTTAGTAAATGCTGTAAATGAGAATAAGAAAAGAAGAAATTATTAGTATTTTTTTTTTCGCTTTTTCACTTATTTTATTTTATTTTTTTTTTTAGCTTTAGAAAAAGAGATAAGAAATGTTTTAGTAGTAAATCATTACGAAAATATCATAAATAATTTATGTCTTGCACGAAACTATTTCTCATGTACAATTTGATTTGTATTTAAGAAATAAATTCATTTGACTTGATAGCAATTAAAAAAAAAATATTAAAAAAAAATTTTTTCTTCTGACTCGAATGGCTGCGACACAACCCCTATAAATTCCTTTTTTATATATTTTTGTTTTAAATTCAAGTTAATTAATTAACTTGACGTTACCATAAAGACAGATTTGAAAAAGCTAGGTTTTGAAATCAAAATTTTTCTATTTTAAATTTAAACTGAGTGAACAAATGCCTCGTTTAAATTTTTGCTATTAGGAAAGAATAGCGTATAAGCGCTTTCTTGTTATTAATGGAGAAGTATAGTGGAGAGAATATATCTGAGTAGATTATTCTCGATCACTAAGAAAGCGCGTTAATGCAACTAACGGTTCCTATCGAAGAAAAGTGCGGGAAACTAAAAATCGCAAAAACTGAGTGAGTTAACGCAAGCATTTGTTTTTTTTTTTCATTTACCCAACCATTAGCGTCATTATTATTCGTTATTCAAGCAGTGGTTACTATTTTCCTTATTATATGGCATTGGTTTTTCAGTTAAAAATTTTGTATATCTAGTGTTGATCAGATTTCAAGATTTTTTTCTTATTTCTCAGGAAAGCGATCAAAAGGAAAAGGAAAAGACTTTATACTAATACAAGAAATGACTATTGAGCTGATTTTCGTCTTGATGGCTCGAAATATCGACAAAATGCCGCATTTAGAAACCAAAAATCGCTCGAGTAGCTCTCAGAAAAAGAACGTGCCACTCTTTGTTATGGACTCTGGGCTCTGGGAAGCGTAACATCGGAATATTTTTCCGTAAAAATGTGCCTGGTCAGGCAGTAACAGTTAACGATCCTCGCGCTATCGCGACATGATAATGAAATTTTTTATACCTAAATTGTAAAATCTGGATGCAGACAACTTGTGGTTTCAAGGCGGAAGATGATGTCGCATTGAATTATTGTATCAACACTGTCCAGCCACATTTGTGCAAAGTGGAAATTTTCTCACACAGAGCATGTATGTGCCAGCAAAGTCTTCCTTGCTTCACCGCTGATCTTGATATATTGATTTACAAAACGTACAATGTTTTAACTATAAGTTTGTGGCGCTTATCCAAATTACATCTTGTGAGAATTTTAAGGCATACTTTAGTGGTCGACATATCTCATTAATTGTAGACCTATTGTTGACATGACAATGAAAGCTACGACATAAGTGACACTCGAAAACATTGAAAGAGTATGGAGAATGGCATTCGCTTCATGTGAGACGATGCACGAATGCCGTACTTTATAATATTTTAACGCAGTTTCCTTCGCAATCGCACTCTAGGAAAGACTAGCAATAGTATAGTAATCATAAAGCTTTTGAACGTCTACAAAACTTTGTACTGAAAAACTAAAATCTTTCGAAAGATTTGATGAATTTATGTCTCCCTGTTGAGGTCAAAGTAGAGCTTAAGTCATATGTGTGTTTACGAACAGAAAATCGATTGCGAACAACGTTTTTTGGAAATTCAATCTAAATTCAATCTAAAGCCTTAATATTTAGGTTAACTTTATAGAAAGTCTTTGCATATTTATTGATATCAATCACTGGACGCGTTTGCCATAAGTTTCTTTAATATCAGTAAATTACTGTAAAAATTCAGATTTGTGCGCATAAGATACCTAAAATGGATAACAATATGGCAAGAATTCTTAAGCAGAGATTCATTCGTGCTGCAATTGTAACTGCATATCCCACAATGCGGCTTGCAACAAATGCTAGTTGATTCTTGAAGCATCAATAGCAGCGCTTGCTTTCTTTGCATTAATTTGCCTTTTACTTAACATGCTGTCTAATGCCAATCAAAGTAAATATGAACGCATTTCGCTCCGTTCTAGCGATTGTCCTTTCTTTGTGAGAAATTGATGTATGTACGCGCCTATGACATATTGTCTTTCGTTTCATGTGTACTTGTATCGTATTTGAAGTAGATTTATTCGATATGAAGATGAAGCGAGTGTCACACTGAAGTCTTTGTCTTTCGTTAAGACAAGAAGAGAAGCACGACAAAAGTAAAAACACACACCACATACTGACGCTATTTGACATTGGAGAACTCGGATAATGCGATATGTACGCGTGAACACACACGCATAGAGTTGTCGATGTAACTATGGTTTTTAAAATCAGATGAGTGCTTATGTTATTCTAAAATTTTTGACATTTCTTGCGTTTGCTTTAAAAACGTGAATAGGGGCAAATGTCACGATATTAAAGGGTGACGTTATGTATATGATCTTCTTCTTTTTAAGTCAATTAACTCGCAAGTTCTTTTCAAATATTCAGAGTATTTGTTCATTTTAAATAATAAAGAATTTTAAATCACAGCAAGCTACTTGGCTTTGATTCTATACACATATTTATGTATATATGTACATATTTTTTTAGGTCCATAAGTCTTTTAAATTATAAATTAATTGAATACAGATTAAAAAAAAAAAAAAAAAATGTATATAGGAAACTTTAATACTTTAAATCACAACCAAATTGAAATCATTAATCAATCGTGCCCTTAAACAGAGAGAAAAAAGGGCAAATAATTATATTTTATTTTTTATTAATATAATTGAAAACCTATTGAGGGAATAGTGTGATAATATAACGTGATTATAAAAATTAATAAAATAGCGAAATGAGAAAAACAAGTATAATAATGAATAATTAATATTCAATGCAACTCTTAATTAACCGCCAAGTGACCGTGTAAAGTGATTAATGAAAATTGATTTTTAATATTGCTAAAAACGGTTATAAAAAATAAAAACAACAACAACAACATATAAATAATGTTTTTTTTCCCCTTTTTTTTTCTAGTAGTAGTAGTAGTAGTAGTAGTAGTAACAATAAAACATAACAATAATCAATATTATTAAGCATAGTATTACAAACAATCGGGGTATTACACAAACAAAAAAAAAACAACAAGTAAGAAAATTATATTCGATCGCGACCGAATTAATTATACGTAAAAAGGAGTAAAAAAAAAAAAACAGGAAAAGAACTAAATTTTGATACCCTACAGTACTGAATGGGCGCTGAGGTGATTTTTTCTATTTTCAGAATGAAAGCCGAAGTGTCTATGGTGTACATGTTGTATTTTATGAGTAACAATCAAAAAACAGAGAAAGTCAAGATGTTCGTAGACGTGTCCTTGGAGCGGTTTGGATCATTTTAAAATTCTTTTGCAAATTTGTGAGTGATATCTTCACTTTTGCGAACGGGTACAATTGGCCAGACGAACAGATGGACAGAGTGATATGCTTAAATGCACTCCGAATTTGAAATAGGCCAAGAATGCATACATTTTACAGTAGTTTTGAAGCTTGATTCTGCACGTGAAGAGAATTCAAGGTACAGGTACTTTAGCGTCGTCCATAGAATATCCGTTCAAATTTTTGTAGATTTATCTGCTGTAGTTTATGAGTAATAGGCAGAAAGCTAACGTCTTATACCTTTTGAAAAACAGAGATGCTCGCATTTTATCTACCACTGTAGACGTGTGCTTCAAACGAATTGACCCATTTTGAGTACCACCTGCAGGCAAGAAATTCCAATGTTTCTCGCAAATTTGAAGTAGAGATAGCTTGATTTTTGCGGCTATTAAGATGCTTGCAACAGACTTTACACAGACGGTCATGCGTAAATCGATTGAGGAGTTGATACTGATTGAGAGTATATATATACTTGCGGGGCCTCTGAAGCTTTTTAATGTCCGTTGCAAACGTTTTGACAAAATGAATATAAAAAGAAAAAATATTATTATCCATATCATAGTAATTTCATAAATATTGCCGGACTGTAAACCATAAATTTACAGGAAAACGGGAATCAAAAGTCAAAGTATTTATCTTCGAGTATCACTACTGAATAATTTATCTCCCTGATCGGGAATTTAATTTAATTAACTTAAGTGATTTGCATAAGTAAGGAATACATTTAATGAATTTCATTAAGTTTTATATTATATATCACCCTTTAAATTAATTAAAAAACTAAATAAATAAATAAAAATCGGGCAAAAATCGCTTTAAATTTTCATACAGTCTTGATTACTATTTTAGTGCAAATATCTCGTGTAGAGATTACTAATGAAAATATTCCGTAATTTCACAGTTTAATATTGCAGATGAATTAAGCGCCCATAGCTTAGGCGTTTAGGAAGTTTGCCTCTGAAGATGACGACGAACATGGAGAGAGAAGAAAATGATTGACGGACGGTTGAAATGATCAAGATTGATTGATAGACAAAATTGACAATTGGTTAGAAAGCTTGGTTGAGGGACGGGCAGAGCGGTAGATAACTTGAATGACGGAACAGCGCACTGTTTAGTTAGAAAACAGCAAAACTTGTCGCAAAAGAAACCTGTGCAAAAATAGTATATAAATATGGTTTCTAGCTATAATACCGTAAAGTAATTCCATCAAAAGTCGTGCGCAGCTGTTTTCCCTTCTCATACATGTGTTTATGTTAATATACGATTCGTCGTAAAACCTAAGCATTAGAAATATATTTAACTACTCAGTCAAATGGACTTTGCCGTCATTTGAAATTTTGTTTCCGAAAAAGTTGAGATATTTCACAGTCAGGAAAAGGCATATGTCATATGTCAAGTATACGTACATCGCTGGTCTCACATGAAAGCTTGCCGCGGAAATTTTGACTTGTGGCATGCTCTTCTCTCTGTTTGGCATGCGATTACTAATGTCTATTCGCTTTTTAGAAATTTACGGACATTTTCGACCTTTTCCCTAGACGCCAACTTTCGACGACGGTG